GCAAATGAAGTCCCTACATACATATATGGCGTTTATTTCGAGCTTATATGCTTTTTCCAATTTGTATTCATCCATTAGGGATGAGCCATCTTAATAGACGCAACTTTTACTAATTTAATAGAGCCATATTTTTAGTAGAGGAAGCTCGGAACCACTAGTGCTTTCTTATTGGAAAACTTTGTTGCATGAGAGAATTCACCGGAGTTGGAGGCGACTTTTCGCACAAGACATACTATATCTCAGGTCTGACAAAAGAGTATTTCTCCATTATATTAGTCTGATTAATTTAGTGAAGTACTCTTTTTTGCAAGTATCATCTCCAACAACCAGGTATAACTTATTAAGAGTTACCTAGATGTTGGTAAGGGTTAGATAATGCGATTTTATTTTTATAACAGTGGAGATTTTTGTAAAGAATTGCGTCAACAGATCCCGCACGCTTCACAGATTGGGCTAGGTTACGAAGCTGACTCTCGCAACATGCATAACGAAGGATCCAACTTGGATAGGTGAGAGCCGCGCTTCTTTGTGATGCCAATAATTTCTTAATATAGACCTGGAGGAGACTCTAATGTTGCGACGGCGGATGTATTCACCCGATTCGTTGAAGGTATGACTATCGAATTGTTTCATCGGCAGTCTGGCGCATGCTGGACAAATGAGAAAAAAGTGCCACGCCGTCTTGTAATTATTCCTCAAGTCATTATGAAATAAAACGTTGTAGAATTCCTTCTTAAAGCTTGTCATTCCAGAGTCATAAGCTCTTCTCTAATTTATTATTCAATTCTCAGCTCTTTAAATTTGGACCAAACGATATTTCAATAACTTTTTTTATTGTGTACCTTCATATATACATGAACCCCACCTTGCGCAGACATCTTATCACTTCCTGTCGCTTAACAATCTCATCATAAACTTTAATGCGTGCCATCCGCCAATTTTAACGAACAAGAGCCGAGGATAACTCTCGACCCATGGCGAGTAAAGAAAATATTAATTTATTATATTTGCAATTCCCGGGCGGCGAGTGTCGCAAAGTGCCGAGTGCGTGGATGTGACAGGTAGCATACGCTGGAAAGTACACAGAAAGTAGATACACCCGAGGGGGTGTTCGCCACGACACGTGCATAAGCTGCATGCCACACATGACCTGCCATGTCGCAGCGTGCAAATGAAGCGCTTGAAGATGCTGCCGGATGAAGCAAAAGCATACTAAACATCAAATTGTTAGTGCACACGCACTTAGTTTTGTTGACGCACAGCGGTAGCCAGAAAGTGCCAAAAGAGAGAAACGCACATAAAAATGCAACATCACGACTGTGGAAAATTGGAAAACCCATTAAATGCAAACACAGCGACATTGAGTGTTGGTTGAAGAGAGTGATTAGGGGTGAGAGTAAGATGGCCGGAAAAGCATATGCTAAGCCATTGTTAGTAGCAATACGGAAACATTCCCACACCACACCCAACCAAGCATTTGCGTGGCACAGAGTGCTTGCAACCAATGCAGGAATCACTTGCCAGCCGATAACAAAACCACGACGAAACGAAACGCACACAGCGCAACAATCACAGATAAGTGGCAAGGATAACACAAGGATGTGGCATTAAAAATTAAACCGTTACAATAGGCGCACACACGCACACGCTCGCTCGAACACTTGAAACAACACTGTAGCATATTGAAGTGCCGATCGTTGGGATGCATCGCTGGTGAATGCTGGTTGTTGGCTGGTGGCTGGTGGCTGCTCGGTCGTTAGCCACTTTGTGCCTACAAGCTCTTGGAATCGCTTGAAAATGACATATAAGCCCGCATTCGTCTAGCGCAAACCCAAATCAACCCACTCTGTGACAGGCCAGCGGTTGCGCCGTCTCTCTGCGTCTGCAACGCCAAAAACTTTCCCACGTTTTGCCTGCAACAACAAATAACATACACAAGTTACTTACTCGGAAGTGTTGCTGATGTCTCCGCGCTGTCATCAAAACAACAATAACCCAACAGTGCCTCGCTCGTTGGTCATGGCTCATCATCAGCGTGAGGGTTGTAAGCGGTCGTCTTCTGCCCCACGGCGGTCTCAACTTTAGCTGCAACTCATTTTGGGCTTTGCCGAGGTTATTAATTGCTGTGCGGGGCAAACGCGGGTGTGATCTCTGCGTGTGAGCTGTGTGTGTGTCTCTCGATTTATACTCATTTATTTATTGTTTTTTTTTTTTTTTGTGTAGCTTGCATTGCTTTTTATTTGCGATTAGCGTTAAGGATCATCCCTTGCTGGCATCCTTTGTACAACAAACATTTTATTATATATATTTATATGTGTTTGTGTGTTTGCTTGCATCAAATGTTACTTTTGCTATTATTATTTGCTGTTTTAGCTATTTACCAACCGCGCCACTCACACACAAACACACACACCCTTGCTGGAAATTGCTTGGTCCTTACCGCGGTGCTTTGTAGCACCCCTCTTTTGTGCGCTTGTTCGCCTGCCATTGAAGTGTTCAATATTGTTTTGTATTTTATTATGCGTAAATTTCACATTTTGCTGGTTTCACAATTATCAACAGCTCATCATTCTTCATTTATGCAACTGTTGCGAACAGCACTGTAAATACGCAGTCGCACACGCACACTCACAGCGATATATACTTGTATGTATGCATTATTTGCTGTGTCTGCTCTTTAAATTCAATTATTTCGATTTATAGCCGTTAATTGTTGCAACTAATTTGCGCTTAGGTGGGTTTAACGGTATATACATCTATATAATTACATATGTGTGTCGGTGTTTTTTGGCATGTTCATGAGAAACTTTTTAATTGCGTGTCTCGTGTGGTGTATATGAAGTATTTTTTCCGTAAAAGCGATTAAAATTGCTCAATTAGTTTTTACGCCTTTAAAATTTTGTACACTTCCTGCTACTTTTTCTAAGTGGGAATATGAATTTCATTTGCCTTGAATCCTTAAATTATTTTATTGCTTTTTAGCACACCATTTTCTTTCTAAATGAATACAAATGAAAAGGTAATCTCCCAATTCTCATGTAAGATAGACAAGCCTTTACTAAAACTAAGCATTGTGAGTTGGAAAAAATAAATAATTTATTAGGCTTATTACAAAAAACAATAAATGTTTTTGAGAGTAGCACAGTAGCAGTACTAACCCTGACAGCGAAGTTGTGATAACGACATGAGTAATATAATGCAAAATGCAAGAGTTTTGCTCATATATCTAAGCTCATTTTGCTTATTTTTCTATAAGCATTGTTTTTTGGATTCCCATAGAGCAACTTACAGCAATTATTTTTTTGGCATTCCATTTTACATTATTTCCTAAAATTCTTATGGCACTAAACTGGGAACTCGTCGCTCCTTTCCTAAAGTAAGGAAAGTTGCTTTGACAGAACGCGCTTTAAATTATCAATGCTTGCGATTCACCTCAGTTCATATTGTAAACGCCTCTAAACAAGTTTAAACAAGTAAGGAAGGGCTAAGTTCGGATGTAACCGAACATTTTATACTCTCGCAAAGTCAAATTTTCGGTAGAAGGTCAACTATAGGCACTGGGGTCCACATATTTAGTACTTAGGGGCTTGAACAGTTTTGGTTCGATTTAGACAATTTTTGGTCACAAGGTGGCATACTTTAATTGCATTATTCACGCAAAGTTTTACCCTGATATAATCATTGTTACCTGATTTGCATAGTGGAAAGTGAAAGAATCAGATGGAATTGAAAATGGTGTTACATGGGAAGTAAGCGTGGTTGTAGTCCGATTTCGCCCATTTTCGCACTATGACATAGAAACATGAAAGGAACGTTATGCACCGAATTTTGTTGAAATCGGTTGAGCAGATCTCAAGATATGAGTTTTCACCTAAAAGTGGGCTGTGCCACGTCCACTGACTAATTTTGAACGCGGTTCTTATAAAGCCAATTTATACTATCTCCGAGATAAAATTTAATGTCTTTGGCGTGTTTAGTGCTTGATTTATCGCGCTTTTAGTAGTTTTTAACAATACCGTTATATGGGGAGTGGGCGAAGTTGACACCCGATTTCAACTATTTTCACACCGTCAATAGAAGTGCTAAAACCATTTGCTTCTAGTGAATTTTGTTATTATAGCATTAGCGGTTTAGGAGATATGCACATTTAACCTATTAGAGGCGGCACCACGCCCACTTTTTAAAAAAATTTTTAAGTGCAGATGCGCCTCCCTAATGTGATCCTGTGTACCAAATAACAGTCTTGTATCTTATTGCGGAGCTTAGTTATGGCAAGTTATTTGTTTTTGATTAATGGCGTTTTGTGGACGTGGCAGTGGTCCGATTACGCCCATCTGCAATACCAACCATCTTACGGTACCAAGAAACATGTCTACCAAGTTTCATAAAGATATCTCAATTTGTACTCAAGTTAGAGCTTGCACGGACGGACGGACGGACAGACAGTCACCCGGATTTTAACTCGTCTCTTCATCCTGATCATTTATATATATATAACCCTATATCTAACTCGATTAGTTTTAGGTGATACAAACAACCGTTAGGTGAACAAAACTATTATACTCTGTAGCAACAGGTTGCGAGAGTATAAAAATAATACTTGACTCCAACATCTTTTTGAAAACACTAAACACACTTGTCTCGTACATGATTCTAGTTATTACAGCCAAGTTCGGCTACTACCTTGCATGCATAACTGATTAGCTTTATCTGGCATTGGACGAAAACTGCTCTCTTACCAATTTTTCGTGGAATATCTCGTTGACAAATGTCAAAAAAACTTCGCACGTAAAATAAAGCTGATTATCTCTATGAATTAAAAAAAACCTAAAATTTAAATATGATTGTCACTATTTTTGCTATTTTCCACCATTTTGAAAATGTCAATTTATTTGTATGAAAAACCATTAATATCACACACTTCACTTCCAACAAATTATAGAATTAATTTTTTTTTTTTTCAAATTAATTTTATTTCATGAAAAATAGCATTTGACGCAATTTACACAAATAATCTACATTTAATGTTTTACTAATTATTTTTAATAGTTCATAATTTGGAGAAATATTTAAAAAACAAAACAAAATTTATTGAATAAAACATGAAATCACAAAATTTGAAAACTTCCATGCATGCCCACATTTTCAAGAAAGCACACAATTTCCGATGCGCTGTTCAGTTCTCCGCGCTCCTTATCGCCTTGCGCTTGTAAAACACCGCCGCTATCAGTGCCGCCGCCGCCAATGCGGACACAGCTGCAATAGCGATTACATAATAAAGTGACGTCACTGATTTACAGACATTGCTAGCCTTGAATAGAGTTACATTCCACTGCGCATTGGCATTGAAACATTTTACTTCCGCTAAATCCAAAACACGCCTGCTATTCAATTGGATAAAGTCCAACCACAGGAACGACGCAGTATCGCATTGCCAAGGATTGTGCGCCAACGAAAGTTGCGCTAAAGAATCGTGCAGATAGTGCAAAATCTCATCGCTCAAATACCTCAACTGGTTATGGCGCACACTTAAGTTGACCAACTGACGTGGTTCAATCGCGCCAGGCGGTATCAATAATGTTTGCAGTCTATTATGCGACAAGTCCACACTCACCGAACTCATATTGCGCGGTAAACAGTAAACGTTCAACGAATTATTGTTTAACTCCAAATATTCCAGGCTCTTGAGTCCATCGAAAATGCTACAGGCCGTGGATGCCGCCATATCAAGTGTATTATTTTCCAAATTGAGATGTTGCAAAACGGAGAGTGCCACGAAAGTGTTCGGCTCTAACCGCTGTAAGCGATTGCAGGAGAGAAAGAGACGCTCGAGTTTATGTAACGATTGGAAGACATCAGCTGGTAGGTGACTCAAGTGATTATTGCTCAAATCCAACACGGTTAAATTGTACAGTTGATCGAAGGTGCCCGACGGTATGTTGGTCAATATATTATAACTCAAATCGAGTTCGTCGAGCTGTTGAAGCGACGCGAAAAGTCCCTTTGTCGGCATTGACATGCTATTCTCACGCATATATAGTTGTGTTAAGTGAGCGCTGACTGGCGCCAGCAGACCGCTTGGCAACGCTGTCTCAATACGCGTCAAATCAAGTGTTGTTAAATCCTGAAAATCTGCTAGCACTTGCTCGTCCAACGCTTCAAAGCCGCCAAGCAGAAAACTCTTGACCTTCGTTAGACTGCTGAGGTATTCACGCTTTAGTGGCACACTCGTAATGCCACGTTGCAGCTTCACTTGCGTGCCTACGCTGACGCCAAGCTGCTGGAAGATACCATCGAAAGGTATACAGCCATCTATGGTAATAACCCTGGCGCGCTCCAATAACAACCTTGGCAGGTGGTCACTGATGTGCAAAATATCCTCATCACTGCCTTGGCAAGTAAAAAACATTGTCGTAGTGTCGGGCTCATTGTCCTGAAAGATGTAGATCTTCATGTGCTCCTCATTGCTGAAATCGATATTGAATTGCTGCATGTCTAGTGTGTAGCACGTAACGTTGGCGGTTTCATTCAATCTCCTGCAATCCTCCATTTTGAACCCGCTGGCAGGCGGTTGTCTACAAATTGCTACTATATATAGGAGCAGTAATAGAATTTGCACACGCGTTGAATTTAACATTTCTCGGTCTCGGTTCCACATTAAATACAGAAAATAAAATTGTAAGATGGCCGGCGCGCTTAAAATACAACTAACTTCGGAAACTTGAAGGCAACTAATTTTATCAAATGAATTAAGCAAAGCAAAGCTTTTTCAGAGATTGCCAAACTTTCGGATACATTTATACCCTCGCAACTTGTTGCAAGCTAAGTAAAATTGTTTTATGTAACTAACGGTTACTTTCAAAAACGATGATTAATGAGCCCGTAATACGATTATATAAATACATTGAAATTGCTCGAATGAATAGACGCATTAATTCTGATTTCCAAAAGCATTAAATTTTATGACTATATTTGAGAACTACAATTTATACATACATAAAATTATTGTAGAAAAGCTTATATTATAATAAGACTTGATAACACCGTCTTCGACTACTATCCACCGAATGGTATAATCAGATACTTGACGTATATAACAATGCGGTTCCAGCCGAACTTGCTCTTCCGTATGCTTTATTAAAATTAAGTTTCTAAATTAGCGCAGAACTCTTTCGCTCAATTTTTGTTATACTTGTATCCATTTTCTACACAATACGATTTCTTTACAAAAGCTTCCCATTAGAAAAAATGTATATCGTGTATTTAGAAACGAGACAAAACTGCAATTTTCTTTAAACTATTCATTAAGAACGAGCGTAGAGCAGGAAGAAATCTTTAAAAACAATGCCTCAAATTTCTGATATAAAAGCGTGTTTTCGGTATTCTGGAAATCTTGAGTTGCACCTAAGATTGCATAGCATTTAGCACATAATATTAAGTTTCACTACACAATTTCTTAAGGGGGTATTCTGGTCTAGAGGCATGATTTTTAGGTATTTTTTAAAGTGATGTATAAAATAGGCAATCAATATTTTTACCATCCATTTTTTTATATGTTATTTATTAACCTTTTAAGAGTACAGAAAAAAATTAAAAAATTTTTTTTTTCAAAATCCAAAATTTTAGCAGCCGATGAAGTGGGGGGTCTCGAAAAATTGGCAGGTGGCCATACCCATGATTACATCCCTTCCAGTAATCTAAATTGAAAAAAATAAAAAGATTATTAATATACATGAATGTCGCAAGGTCATGAACTAGGGACAAGTTAAAAAAAATTTTTTTGATAAAATGGCGACTGTTTGAAAAAAAACATAATTTTTGGACCATTTTTTTGATTTTCTCAAATTTTTTAAAAATACTAAATTTCGGAATTTGGGGATGGGGCTAGTTCATGGCCGAGAGGAGTCCATGAGGAAGATTCCCTGAAAATTTCAAGTCAGTCGGTCCAGTAGAACTTGAGATATCATGGGTATCAGGTTGAAAAAGACAGTTTCGAGAAAAACGCGTTTAAAGTTTTGCCCGCCGTTCGTTACGTTTGAATGCCGCGCCAGCAAAATGCCTATATCTCCGAAAATAGTTCGAATTTTCAAAAATCCTCTCGTACACACATTCTTGAATAGTTAAACTTTGAAAATATGAAAAAAATTTATTTCTTGAAATTTCTAGACCAGAATACCCCCTTAAAGAAAACTTTTTATATTCAAACATTCAAATTCTCCCCAAATAAAAAACAAAACAATAAAACTTTTTTGATTCACTTCGAAAAACTTGCACGGTGATGGCATACGGTTTCCTACTGGCAACGCAATCTCCATTCATGCACCTCATTCTATTTGTTTCTTAATGAAACAATATCTCTATGCAGTTTTCTCATTGTATGTGTAAAACAAATTTCCGTTTATTTTAAATTGTGATAAGCGTTTCCCATAATATAATTGACTATTTTATTTATCGGCAAATAACGTTTCACATTCTAGCATAAATAAGATTTTATAGGCAGCTCGCTTTGACGATAACGACAATACGAACAGTTTGTTTGTGAAGAATTACAAATATTTCGAAAACATTTGAGTGAGTCAAACGCGTTAATATTACCCAAAAAATATATAATATGTTTACTTGAATATTGTTGTAAAAATTTTAGTGTTAGAAAATGATTGGCGCTCAAAGATGTGTGACTAATGTAGTGTGTGTCCAAAAATAGAAATAAAATCGTAGACTCCATAGGAAAAAATGCTAAAGCTATTTAGCTAGTAATATCTAAAAACAGAGTCTAACCTACAGACTCTAACTATATGACTATTGGCAACTCCTCAAGCTGGTCTTCATTTAGCTGAGAAGCTGTTCTAAATGATATTATATTATATTATTCGCATATATAACTTCAGTTTGCCTAGAATACTTTTTTGTGGCTGAAAGCGAATTCATTTTGAGGGTTTCCATATATACTATATACTTGTATGTAGTTGCAATAAAACTTAATCATAAAATTTCAGCATAATTTATACAACGAAAGTTAAAGTCCTTGCCTAGAAGAAAAATGTTGTAATTTTTCGTGATAAATACTTTAAGCGCTTAAGGACTCAAATTCTTCAAAAATGCTTTTTATTTTAAAAACTTTCCAATTTCAGTAATGTTATAACGAAGTTATAGACAAACAGATGACAGAATAGTATTTAGAATAAATGGAAACTGATAAACCTTAAAAAACCCTACCTTATTGGGCCGAGTGCGTGGCTTCTGCTAAGTTAATCATGGCAAGCTCGAATCTTTCTTGTATTGTAATGTATATAAAACGCTTTTACAGGTAGGCTGAAAAGTTCGTATCGTTTCTATGAAAATTAATTATTATAATTAAATGAAAATAGTATGCAGTTAGACCTAAACTTCAAAAGACAGTTGGCTTAATTGCATGGGTTTACAACATTTTGTTAAGCAGATATTTAGAGGGTTAAGGAAATAATTATTTTGTTTTAAATTATTCCTATAAAATGATGGATTTTATTTAGGTGCTGTCAACGTCTAAAAGTGGCTTTTAAATTTTAATTTTCTACAAACATTCTATAAAACAACATTGCAAACTAAGTTTGTGCGAGGTAGCCGCCACTACAAGGATCCCTTTTTTCCTTTCTCTTCTTTTCTTTTGTCCTATATTGAAATATGATTCAGTGGTATTATAGTTATCAAATCCAATAAGTGGCAGTCCGTTCAAAACCAATTATTTCTCATTACCTTAAAGTATTTTCGCTGGAATTCTAAAAAACTCTCTTGCTTTTTATGACTAGGCAACTTTCCGTTATCCGGTATTATTCGAGTTGAGCTCCACGTGCGCATATATGTATTTGGTGTTAACGAATCTAGTTCGCCGAATTAGCAAAGTACTAAGTCATATGCTGGTGTGCATTTTCAATTTAATCTCTACAAATATTATATATATACTTGTATATATTATATATAAGTAAGTACAATCTAGAATTGTCATAGTTTTGCTACCGCGCTACACTTGAACGACTCCCAGCTTACTTTTTCACAATTTTCGTAAAAGATAGACACCATAAAGGTACTACCTGTTTACGCTTGCCGCCAATTAGAGCATTTTGCACCAGGCGCAATCGCCACACTCACTGTCATTATCACCAACAGCATCATCAAGTGTTCGTTGAATCATTAGTGCCGGCAGTAACAACAAATAATACTTGCCACAGGCAATTGTTGAACATTTTAACAGTGTAAAAACAACAAAATAAACATTTTATTGCCAGCAACACCCAACAGCGGCAAGCCAATGCAACAACAGCAGTGAGGCTGAACGCTGGCAATGCCATTTTATGGTTTTTCTGCCATTGTAAATGTGTCATACAACGCCTAGTCTCATAGGGAATACACTAACAAACACACATTTGAGGAGTTAAAGAAATAGTAAGTCCAGAATGTGAAGTGCGCTGTGCTTGCGCGACAATTATGCGATAATAAAAACTATGTAATTCTTGGCGTTTATGGATTTTTAATAATTGCACTAATTGGCCGCCAGGTGCAGGGTCTCGCTTTGCTGTTGCGTTCGAGCCCTGCACTTCCATGCCACTGCAAGTTGCATTGTTTTGCTAAGCAGCGCGCAGTGTATTTTTCTATCGTAATCTTTTTTGGCTCTTCGAATTCCTCGGCTGCTCCATATTTGTACATTTCACAACATCGCTCCACACTGTTAAATATTTATATGCATTTAAGACAATTGCGGCAGTCGGCGCGTAATTTGCGATTCCTAAGCACGTTTCATTATAATTTTGGTCCACTTAAGCGTTCCGTTGCTCATGTCCACTAAAGGCGGCGGCGCAGGCGTGCGCTCGCTCGTGATTTACCCGTTGACCCCATGCGCTACCGTATTGCCGAAGATGTCGCCCCAACCGCCAGCGCCAATTGGCCATCGCAGCTGGAATTGAAGCGCTTGTGCTGCTCCAAATCATCATAAATTCGCTAAAATCGCATTTTTTCGCTTTAAGTCTTCGGCTTTTTTTTTTTTGTTTAACGTTTTAATATTTTTTTTTATTTTTTTGCTTATCATTCGCCTTTCTTTGGTTGTGCGAAAACGTGCCCACTCAATGCGGAAGCGTGCAGGTACTTAGTAAGTATTCAATTACCAACGAATTTGTGTATTAGGTGGAGAGAAAAGTGGAGAAATTGTGAACTATTGAATTGCCTAAATTTAGCCCACTCATGTTGGTTGCATTTCGAAGTAGTTGACTATGTTAGGTCCTTATCAATATGTGAGTACTAATTTCAAAATATTTACACTGTGTGGTTTCCAATAAGTCTTTATTATTTACCAAATGACTACGGAAATCTCAATGGGTGACATTTCATAAAATCCGGTAGGGAATCAAAGTTATCACAAGTACTTGTAGTTGCATGTATTGTACGAGGGCGGTTCGATAAGTTGTCTCACTCGAAATATTTAGCATAAGAAAGCTGTCGCCACGATAGGTACAGTGTTTGCTCATTTCGGACAACAAGCGCAACCACAAGACCACTTCACAGCTATACTTGACGTTATTTAAAAGAAACTCACAGCAGTTTCGACATGGTTTCATTATTCGAGACGTGAATAAACTGGTACCCACCAGAGACCAATCAAGAGCCGGCGTCTCTGAAGACAGCGAAACCTGTCCTCTTGGCCAGAAAGGTGGAAATTATCAATGTCTGGTTTTTACTAGTTTAAATCTATAGCGCCTACATGGAGATGGTTAAAACAGCAAGGTTCATGAAAGTATAATTCACGAAATCACTGCTCCGGTTTGATGCCGTGTTGCAGAAGAAATGGTCTACTTTGTCGAAGGAAAATTTTGCAAATTATGATAAGCGCTGCTGTCTTATAGTTGACTCTTTCGCCTTTGTTTTCAAACTTCAAAAAG